CCCCAAAACCCCAAAACCCCAAAACCCCAAAACCCCTAACATACACTCATGATTGAAATAATTCATTTTGCAAATTATCTTAAGTTGATTAAGAACTTGTCAACAGAGTATTTTACAATGTTAAGTTCATTATTCTTGTCATCTTCATTTACTATGTAAAGCATATCATCTTCTCCTTTTTTTATGAACGGAGGATAAATAGAGAATATCTCCATTGGAGCATCCTTGATTTGCTTGATTGATTTGTGTCCAACATAATTGAACATAAATACATAAGGTGACTTAGCAATATCTTCAGGTGAGTCGTATACGCTTCCTCCAAGGATTAGAATTTTGCTATCTGAAACTTTGGTAGAGATACAGTTGGCGACTTTCTTACTAATTCTATACTTCAGCAAATTCCAACAATTTTTGTCGATAGTATATTGCTCGATAGTGTTTGACCCTTCACATTTGACATTTCCTCCTCCAAAAACATAAATTTTACTTCCGACTGAACATGCACTTGGGTTTTTCCTAGAATATGTCATTTTTGCTATTTCTTCCCATTTGTTTTCACCTTGGGTATCTAGTCTTTCACATGCTCTAAGTTCCTTATCAAAGTAATTAAACCCTCCTAGAACATAGACACATCCATTCTCAAACACAGAAGCAAAGCATCCTCTGGGTCTCTTCATATGTGGGCTCTCATTAACAGTGAAAAAGTTTTGGAATGGGCTGATGATCACCTCGCTCACCTTAAGGACTTGGTCACTAAACTTTGGCTTATCCTCAACAATCTGATTCAGACCTCCAATGACCAAAAAGTCATTATTAGGTAAATATACAGTTCTAGAGAATGGGAAGAAATGAGTTTTCATGTTAATAGAATGAATCTTCCATTCTTCATCAACAAACTCAGCTATGGTTTTGGTCATCCATCTTGGAATTCTAATCCTATCATCACTAATCTTATCCTGAAGTGGCTCTACTTCGATATCGATTCCTGCCTTCTTGTTGATCTCTGAAATATTCTTAAGAAGTTCATCAATTTCCTTCTTAGTGTCATGCTCAAGGTTGAGTTTTAGGTCTGAGAATTTTTTCTTAGCTTGGGAAAGCTCTTGGTCAAAGCTCACCTTGAATTTCTCTGAAAGATCCAAAGTTCTGTATTCATTTACAAGTCTTCCTGCCTTAAGAACATTTCTGATGTGATTTGCAAATTTCTTTTGAGATGCTTGGTGGCCATCACTTCTGTTCCTATTCTTATTAAAGTCTAAAATTACTCTAATTTTTGCTTTACTTGCTCAAGATTATCAAGAAATTGAGCATTTTTGTTAATCTGAAAGTTGAGTCTCTTAATCTTTATGTTTAAATCATCTTCTTGTTGCTTTGATTCATCAACTATAGTCTGTTGGATTTTTTGAAGCTTATTTATCAATACTCATGTAATTGTACACCAGGAAAGATTTAACAGTTTTGATGCTGAAGTTAGAGAGAGAAACATACTTTTGGAGTAAGTGATATTTGTTGCTAACGAAGGATTCTAGTTTCGATTCACTATCCCGAAGGTTCTCTTTGTTTCTCTTTACTGTTTCAAGTACTTTTTCTTCCATTTCACTTATCATTGTGTTCATATTTTTAAAAATCTCCTTAATACAAGTGATCTGATGTCCTTCTTTATAATGACTGTAAAGACATTTTGAGCACAGAGCCATTCTCTCTGTTTTACAAATATATTCAACATTATTTCTCTGGATGGATTTTTCAAGAAATAGTCTTTCCTTCAAAAGAATGCTCATCTCTGAAGATATCCTTTGCTATTGTATTTCTTATCAAATTCAGTTGACTTTGAGATTCACTGACAGAGTTGATTTCATCTTCATCTACAGTAAAACATAATCATAGCGTCTTACTCTTACTTAGAAAGAAGTCTTTGTCTTCTTTCTCATTCTTCTCAGGTTTATTAGGACGAATTCTCCGCTTTAGGTTTGTACTATGCGACCTCTTCTTATTATGTTGCACCTCCTAAAAGTACCAGAATGAGCTTAACAGCTATATTTTGGAAAATACCTGGTTTGGGCTTAAATTTGATGGCTTATTTTAACTTGTGGAGCGTTGAAGTTGTCTTCTTTAAGCCGCTGTTAGGGCTTTTTGTGAATAAAGGTAAGCAGTCCTTGCATAAGGTGTTCTTAGGATCTCTGTAAGGCAGATCAGGGTTGATTGTGATTAGAGGTGAAGAAATTTGGTCTATTGGAGATTTGAATGGGGATTGTGGAGATTTAGGTGTTCTTTTGGTTTGAGAATTAGCTAAATAAGTTAAGAAAAGGAGATACAGCTGTTGTTTTGGAAATCTGAAAAGGTGTCGAGCGAGGTGTGTGGTCTTGGACTCTGAGTAAATGTCTTGAAGCAGTTTCCACAGTAGTTGATTTTATTCATATAAAAATATTATTATTTCAATAAAATTTTAAATTCACGGGGTTTTGGGGTTTTGGGGTTTTGGGGTTTTGGGGTTTTGGGG